CCTGTAGTCCCAGCTACTCAGGAAGCTGAGGCAAGAGAATTGCCTAAGCCCAGGAGTTGGAGGTTGCTGTGAGCTATGATGCTACAGCACTCTACTGAGGGAGACAAAGTGAGACTCTGTCTCTTAAAAAAAAAAAAAAAAAAGACTAAATTAACCTAAGAATCAGGAAGAGGGAGAAATGGGGGAAGACAAACACCAAGATAATTTGAATCAGGAAAAGGTCTGTGAAAGAAATATTTCTAAAACCACAGGAAAGGTATCTCAGGCCCTTCTTGTCTGGTCACCAAACTATCTCGTAGGCAACCACCTGCCCATGGATCAGATACTTCGTACCTTCAAGTTCATTGGGATTCTCTTAGAACTTATTTTGCATTGTGCATTACCTTTTAATGGTCAGCTACTTAGATATTATATCAGTTATATAGAAATTAACTACATTCTGTGTATTCTTTATAACTTCAGTGTTTTTCTTCCCATTCAGAAGATAATTCGTCTATAATGGTCTATAATTGGGGTGGTGCCTATGGCTCAAAGGAGTAGGGGGCCGGCCCCATATACCAGAGGTGGCAGGTTCAAACCCAGCCCCGGCCAAAAACTGCAAAAAAAAAAAAAATATATATATATATATATATGTGTGTGTGTGTGTGTGTGTGTCTATAATGGTCTCCAACTGAAGTTTCCCAGTCAGTGTTTTATTTAACATAACTTTTCCCTCTAAGTATACCATATTAATGCTCCCCTTCACTCTCCATTTCATGACCAGCACCTTATTTTTTTTTCTTTTTACTGCTGGGTAGTTTTTGATTAAGACAAGGATTACACTCTTAAAAAATAAAATTAATTGAAACTAAGTTCCTGACAAATTTTAGACTTGTTTTGCTTCCTCTACAACCTAATATATGTCTCATATTCTGGATAGTAATGAACCAATTTATTTTGATTTGGTTCTCTGGTTAGAGTAATAACATGAATTCAGAAAAAGGGCAATATAAATTAGAAGCAATAAAAATAAATTTTCCAAATTATAGTGAAAATGCAGACTTAAGTATTTCTTAGATGTTTAAACATCCTAGTATATCCCAGAGAAAAATAATTCCTATGAGAATAGGAGGAAGATGATTAAAGGGTGGTCTGGAATTCTGAAGTT